TTTTGTGCGGCACTCCATCTGCATTCAGTTTGCCGCAGAAGGAGAAGGGTTGAGGCCTCCTGTACAGTGCCATAGGGAATCATTACGTGCCATTTCATCTCCCTCCGCTCTGATGTGAACAAATGATATAATAAGAGTGGCATAGAATGGATGGAGACTGGGGGATGGAATAGATAAAGATTTATACCACTGGTGCCCGACCTGCGTCCCGAGGCCTGCATGCAGCTCTTTGGTATATGACGTGTGGCCCTCAGACCTCAGCAGTCTGTATATAGTTACATAGTTAGTCTGGCTGAAAAAAAGACAAAGTCCATCCAGTTCAACCAAAAATAAAAGTTATAATCCTACATCCACAGCTGATCCAGAGGAAGGCAAAAAAACCCCAGCAAAGCATGATCCAATTTGCTCCTTCAGGGGAACAAATTCCTTCCTGATTGCTCGAGAGGCAATCGTATATTCCCTGGATCAACTTTACCAAGTTTGTGTTGTGGGAACATTGATTAGGGTAACAACATTGATCCCTACAAGCCTCGTGTAACATTTTTCCAGTTTCGTATTGCAGCATATCCCTAGCCAGAAACGTAGCATGTCCACACCCTCATTTCCTCTATTAGGTCTCCAGATCCTGACAATCCTCTCAATATTGACCGGGACAGACTAAAACATTTAATGTGAATAGCTTAATGTGAAAAAGCTTACCGTACCATAATGTGCCTAAACCTCAATCAATTGACTTGAAACTTTGCACAGCCCAAGTTCTCAGCATCCCAAACATGTCCTAGAAGTTTCGTAGATTTTAGACTTCCACAAAGAAAATGGGGGACATTAAGCTTGTTTTTTTGGGGAGCTTAATGTAGCTTAACGTACAAAAAAAGAGCTTAGATGTTGACCAATTTCCCCCAAACTTCACAAAATACAAGAATCTACATCACGGGTACTGAATTAAAATTCATGGAGGTCCGGTTGTTAATACTTTCTTTCTGCAGAGGTCCAAATCTCATTTTTCTTCTTTGACTCAGGTCTTTAACGTCACAGCCCCTTTTCAATTAGGCACATTATGGTACATTAAGCTATTTTTACATTAAGCTATTCACATTAAATGTTTTAGCACTGTAAAATATAGCTTAATGTGAATAACTTTTGGTGTGATTTACCAAATGATCTGAAAGTTTCAGAATATGTTGCCATAGATAGAGACTTCTATTGTGTGAAGTTTGGGGGAAATTTGTCAACATCTAAGCTCTTTTTTTGTACGTTAAGCCACATTAAACTCCCCAAAAAACAAACTTCATGTCCCCCATTTTCTTTGTGGAAGGCTGAAATCTATGAAACTTCTAGAACATGTTTGGGATGTTGAGAACTTGGGCTGTGCAAAGTTTCAAGTTAATTGATTGAGATTTAGGCACATTATGGTACGTTAAGCTCTTTTTACATTAGGCTGTTCACATTAAATGTTTTAGCACTGTAAAATATAGCTTAATCTGAATAACTTTTGGAGTGATTTACCAAATGACCTGAAATTTTCAGAATATGTTTCCATTGATAGTCTTCTATTGTGTGAAGTTTGGGGGAAATTGGTCGACATCTAGGCTCTTTTTTGTACGTTAAGCTACATTAAGCTCCCCAAAAAAAAAGCTTAATGTCCCCCATTTTCTTTGTGGAAGGCTGAAATCTATGAAACTTCTAGGACATGTTTGGGATGTTGAGAACGTGGGATGTGCAAAGTTTCAAGTCAATTGATTGAGATTTAGGCAGTTTATTACACGTTAAGCTACATTAAGCCATTTTCACATTAAATGTTTTAGTCTGTCCCATATTGACCATTACGTGTGGCCCCTGGGTGATGTCAGGGGCCGCATTTTGGGGCCCCTTTTAGCTTATAAGTTGTCAACCACTGAACTATACAGACAGACAAGTAAACATTATGGATCCATTTACTATTCAAAGGCTTGACATGACCTGGGTTGATTCCTTTTATGACTTCCTCTATCCTCTATGTAAGATATTTTATGAGTAACTACGAGTGAAGTAGATGTAAACCCTAACTGGATGACAGCTTGTTCAAGCACCGTGCATCATATTAAGGGCCATTTCTTTAAAACTAATCCTGTTTTTACCATTTTCCCATCCCAGTGCTGCTGATTTCTTCCAGCCTCTTTCAGCCGTTCCCCATCTACATGTACTCATTCCAGTGTCAGCCTTCCATTATTGCTCTTGACCTTTCTAGTAGCGATAAAGATTGACCATGCCTATGCAATGTGTCAGCATGGCCGCTTGTAGTCTGTATCTGGGATTATGTGAGAGGGTCACAATATGGGAGCGCAATTGGTTATTGGTTGAACTGGATGGACTTGTGTCTTTTTTTTTTATCCAGACTAACTATGTAATTGGGAAACAAGGATAGAGCGTTGTCACCCTAAAACAGGAAATGCTTGAACAAGGACCCTGGCTTCTGTAACCACTTGCCCGCCTCTCCATAGCAGATGTACTGCTACAGGGCGACCTCCCTGGGCAAAATCATGTAAATATGTGATATTTAAATTCCGGGCAAGGGCGTGCACCACCCTACCTGTGCTGCTGTTGGCTCCTGAGGATGTCAATCACCTGGTCCCTGCTGGGACTCGGTGATCATCGGCGAAGCTGAGAGATTTGTGTATAAACAACACAGATCTTTCTGCTGTCAGCATGGACATGCTGCTTTCTATCTCTCTGCACAGCAGAGGTATGGTATAGAAAGCAGCAGATACAGTTGTGCTCAAATGTTTGCATCCCCTGGCAGAAATTGTGCAATTTTGGCATTGATATTGAAAATATGACTGATCATGCCAAAAAATGCTCTTTTATTGAAGGATGATGATCATATGAAACTATTTATTATCAAATAGTTGTTTGGCTTCTCTTTAAATCATAATGATAACAGAAATCACTTAAATGGCCCAGATCAAAGGTTTACATACCCTGGAATGTTGGACCTTGGTACAGACACACAAGGTGACACACACGGGTTAACATGCCAATCAGAGGTTAAAGTCCCACATCTGTGGCTTTTTAAATTGCAATTAGTGTCAGTGTATGTCAATGAGTTTGTTAGCTCTTATGTGGAAGTACTAGGCCATGGGGATCAGAAAAGAACTGTCAAAAGTCCTGCGTAACAAGGTAATGGAACTTTATAAGGATGGAAAAGGACATAAAAATATGTCCAAAGCCTTAAATGCCAATCAGTACTGTTAAGAAGTGGAAATTTCGGGGATCTCTTGATACCAACCCAAGGTCAGGTAGACCAAGAAAGATTGTAGCCATAACTGCCAGAAGAATTGTTTGGGATACAAAGGGAAACCCATAGGTAACCACAAGAAAAAATATTTTTTTTCACAGGTGCTCTTTATTGCTTATATCCACATATATTCCTATAGGTACTCCTCCACCAGAGACATACATATATACTCTCACCTCCTTTTATGACCCAAATTGCAGAGGTCAAATACCACATTTCCCTTTTAACCGGGGTAGGTATACTGTATAGATGACTCCACTTTCCTCCTCACTCTGCTGAAAACGGTACCATCTCCTCTTTATCCCACAAATCCTGCGATCTGTAATATCGGACGGTCACCTACACTTGCCACAAAGCAAACAGGAAGAACATTTGGAATGCTTTTTCAGAACAGAGGCTTTCACTCCTGCCCATCAGGAGCCCATGACTATGGTGTGAATGTACGACCCTTATCGCCAATAAGTGCAAGCGGCACCGGTTCCAGTAGAAGCGCCAGACATTGGGGCCCGAAGCGGTCGAGGACACCTGAGAGACTCCAGGTAGGAGAGACGGCCAAGGCGCAGCTCATACACTCATTAGGCAGCTGTGTGATGGGGAGTCTCAGGATCCTGATAGATAGCGAATCCTGAGGCTCCCCATCACACAGTTGCAAATCCATCGATCGACTTGGGTACAACCAGCATGTTGTATTTTACATGCAATTATTGCCAGCAGCTATAGCTGCTAGCAATAATCACGGTGTTCTCCCGGAAAGGACACAACCCCCCTCCCCCTCGCCACCAGGAGAACACAATAGCTCCACCACGAGAGGCATTTCTCCATCAACACTGCAACAAGCAACTTTCTTTAAAAAAAAATTATAATAAAATAAATAATTTAAAATTGCATCATCTATGACCTGCCTTGGACATTTTCTTTTTCAGGCTTTTTTCCTTTACTTTCACCTGGTGATCCTGCCAGTAATGCACTACATGAGAGGGAGGGACCTGAGACAAGATGCAGATTGTGCTAGAGCAGGGGGCCTGTTCAAGAGGCAAACTGTGATTGGGGGGGGGTGCCAGAGGCAGGTTGTGATTGGTTGGGGAGCGTGGAGGCTGAACACACTACCCAATACAGGCATGCTGTATGTCTGCACAGTGTCCTTTACTTCTGAATGGCTAGCCAAAGGATGGAAACTGACCACACCAACACAGATCAGCTTCTGTGCTTTGTGTGGTCACTTTAGAACAAGGAAGAAAGGTGACAGGCAGGATCAATCAGGTACTTCAGATAGAAGAAGTACATGAAAATGATAGAGACTATGAGTTATAAAATACACATATGTGAACAAACACATAGAAAAAAATTAATACTTAGGCAGACCTGTTCGAACTCTCCATTTAGCCCTGTGGACTGGTGGTTACACCTGCCTACCTCCAAACTGATCTTAATGGAAAAAGAAAAAGGCACAGTGGAGTCCATTTACACCCAGCTGACAATAGAGCAGAGTGGGTGTCATCCGTCCATTCTTCTCCAATCAGCAGGGAATCAGCGGACAGATCCCCTGCTGATTTAATCCGAGGCTGCCCTGTGTGAAAGGGGAGGGGTCTTGGGGTAAATATACACTTTAAGAGAACTAATGCAAGCAGGGCACTGACTCTTGGGAGGAGTTATGCAAATATCAAAGTACCTCGATAAGTTGATCTCAGTCTGGAGGAGTGGGAGTTCCTAGGCAGGCTGCATACAGACTTTCCTAGGTAACACCCACATCTGATGCTGAGCTTCCATGATTAAAAGAACGGAAATCCTGTGAATAAAAGGGGCAGGCTAGGAATAGCAGGATGGGGAGGAAAGGAGTAGACAATGCTGGATGTCCCCCAGCCAAGAAATGAGGAGGGACTTGCTGCAGCTTCTAATGCACATGGTGAGAAGCTCACAGTGTGCAGTGAAATCAGAGTAAGCCGTTTCAGTCAAGGAGAGGAGCCAGTACACCAGTGCCAGACTGAAGGGAAGGAGCCGGTACACCTGTGCAAGACTGAAGGGGAGGAGCCGGTACACTTGTGCAAGACTGGAGGGGCGGAGTCAGTACACCTGTGCAAGACTGAAGGGGAGGAGCCGGTACACCTGTGCAAGACTGGAGGGGAGGAGCCGGTACACCTGTGCAAGACTGGAGGGGAGGAGCCGGTACACCTGTGCAAGACTGAAGGGGAGGAGCTGATACACCCGTGGAAGACTGAAGGGGAGGAGCCGGTACACCCCATGCAAGACTGAAGGGGAGGAGCCGGTACACCCATGCAAGACTGAAGGGGAGGAGCTGGTACACCCATGCAAGACTGAAGGGGAGGAGCTGGTACACCCATGCAAGACTGAAGGGGAGGAGCCGGTACACCCGTGTAAGACTGAGGGGGGGGTGCCGGTACACCCTTGCAAGACTGAAGAGGAGGAGCTGGTACACCCGTACAAGACTGGAGGGGAGGAGCCGGTACACCTGTGCAAGACTGAAGGGGAGGCCATAGTCCAGCCTTCACCTAGAAGTCCATTTTTGGAGATGATAATTTGCTTGTGAGTTTCCCATGGAGCTTTGCCTCAGTCCTCTCTACCGTTACTGGTGAGTGAAATATGTCACCACTGAAATTACTTATTAGGTAATTGTACTCCTCAGGAAAGGGAATGAAAAGACAAATATCTCAGTACAGCTCTGGATACCTGCAGAAGTCACATATCTTGTATGAAGTGGCCCATATATTGACTTTATGTATGTTTGTGTACAAATTGCATTCTTTCGTATACAAATACCTAGAAAACGCAGAACATTCTTGACGTTCCGTCTGCCCGCTCAGAAGGCAGAATGTGTAATATGCACAGAATACGGCTCAAAAAAAGAAAAACAGATTTTTCTTAAAGCGGAACTTCACCTAAAAGGAGGAAGTTTTGCTTTTCTGCCTCCTCACCCCCCCCCCCCCCCCCCCCCCCCCCCCCCCCCCCCCCCCTGGGCACTTTATTTTTTTGAGGGGGAGCAGATACATAGTTTTGATTGGATACCTGCTCCCACTTCTACTCAGATTGAGATCTGCCCTGGGAAGAGGGACAGAGCAGTGCACTCCTGTCGAGTGCCCCCAAAGCTAGCAGCTTGTTATGGGGGTACACAAGCAGGCTTGCTCCCAAGCTGTTGCTCCACATGTCCATTTACACAAAGAGCCGCGGCTCGGCCCCACTCCCTTTTTTCTCATTGGCTGTGATTGACAGCAGCGGCTTCTTGAATGACAGCATGAGAGCCAATGACCTGTCTCAGCCAGTGAGGAGGGAGATTCCTCGGAGAGCTGAGGCTCTTGAGCACATCGCTTGGTCATGATGGGGCTCAGATAAGTATTTGGGGAGGATGCTTCACACAGAGGGTTTATGCATTCTGTGCCCCCAGTACTTACCTGAGCCCCATCTCAATCCAGAAATGTATACAAAAGCAGCAGCACTCCAGGGTCTCTCCCTCCTCATTGGCTGAGATGGATGAGCCATGGACTCCCGCTACTGTCAGTCACAGCCAGTGAGTCGATGAAGAAAGAGCAGGGTGTGGGGCCGAGCCGTACTCTGTGTATGAGTGGACATGCAGAGCATCGGCTCAGGATCGAGGGAGGGGCCAGGAGTGCTGGGGGGGGGGGACCATGAAGAGCAGGATTGGGGCTGCTCTGTGCAATACCACTGCACAGAGCAGGTAAGTATAACACATTTGTTGTTTCAAAATAAATCAGCCTTTTATATGGGTTTTTTTTGCCTTCCTCTGGATCAACTGTGGGTGTAGGATTATAACTTCTTTTTTTTTAATTGTTGAACTGGATGGACTTTTATCCTTTTTCAGCCAGACTAACTATGTAACTATATCACTTTAAGATCCTCTTTAATACTGAATGAAAGGAATTGCTGAAATAAAACTAACAAAACTAAAAATAACCCCCACCACCATTGTGCCTGTGCGCTCAACTCCCAACTGTGGACCTGCGCAAAATCAGATCAGAGTGCGCCTGTCCCTCAATCCAACCTGTTATTGACGGTACTCTCCTTATGGTCTTATCAGTGGTAGTAATTTTGTGGTTTAAGAAATCTGACTTGTGCCTTCGTTTGCTCTGTAAACAATCTCACAATACACAGGGACCCCTCATAATGTAGTATATAGTAATTCCACTTATTACAGTTAAAATTGTACTCGCATACAAAAATGTTAAAGCATTTCATTAAAACAGCGGGGGCCGCCGCTCCCGTGTCAATTCTGGGTTTAGTTACCAAAAGCGTTACCTGGCTCCACCCTACGCGTGCCGTCATGGTCACATGACTTCCTCAGGGGATGAGTGGAAAGCCCAGTCTGAAAAGACAAGGTGGAGAGTGACTTCACCATGCCGCCTCTCGACCTCGTCCAGTCAGAGAACGCTTTACATTCATTCAGAAAATGCAAAGCATTCACTGAATGGCGCCTGTGCTGAGCAGCCAACCTCCTGGGTTCACAATGCGTCAGACCAACTGTTCCGCACAGGACCAGGTAAGAAGTAGAGATCACTGGAGTAGCAGTGTAGTAGCGGTGTCGACTTGAGTTATTTCCAGCTTCCAGGGGCAACAGCCAGGTATGTCACATACACAGTCACATAGGTCCAGGCTAGAGCAATAAAAAGTATACCACACCTGGAATTATTCTTTAATATGTTATAATGTATTTTACATGATTTTTTTTTTAAGGCTGTGCACACTGGTGATTTTTAGTAGCACTACTAAAATTGTCCATTTTTAATTGCTGCTTGTAGTGGCAAGTGTTGACGCATTTAGAACAAATGGCTCCCTTCGGAGTTAGATCTACAAATAGCGTGTAATAGCTTGCAGTATCGATTAGTCACACATTCATTGTACAGGGAAGCCGCACACGTGTAGCTCACTGTACAATTTCGGCAGTGCCGAATCTGGTTGAACTTCCGCGCATGCATTGCGTTGACATAATCTCCACCCGCCCAATGACAGCGGCCAGTGTTTAAGACCCAGAAGCCGGCCACCTAGGGAGCTCCAGGACACTTCATCACAGGAGCTGAGGTGAGTATTGTTCCGCTTTAAGTTCACGTGAAAAAAAAAAAAAAAACTAAAATCCATTGGTAAGAGAGGGAGTGGGGAAGAAACCAGCCAGAACAAGATGTCATTTAAAGGGTAACTCCACTTCTGTTGAGAGAAAAAAACCTCCCCTCTAGGTGATCTATGTACATTGCAAGCAGGGGCATCCCTAGGGTTGGTGTCACCCGGTGCGATAACACCTGGTGACACCCCCTCTGACGATCGCCGCAGGATGGATCGGATCTGCGGATTGAGCATAATGGATTGGACTCCGATCGATTATGCTCAATCCACAGATCCGATCCATCCTACGGGGATCGTCGGCTTTCTTTACAACTTACCTTTTCGTGGAGCGGGTCCGTTGTCACCCCATATAGGTTGCATGCCGATGATCCAAGCAGGGTGGTTCGGATCTGCAGATTGAGCATAATGGATCGGAGTCCGATCCATTATGCTCCCCAATCCGCAGATCCCATCTATCCTGCGGGGATCGTCGGGTGACACCGGACCCGCTCCACGAAAAGGTAAGTTGTAAAGCAAGCTGACAATCCCCGCAGGATGGATCGGATCTGCGGATTGAGCATAATGTATCGGACTCCGATCCATTATGCTCAATCCGCAGATCCGATCCATCCTACGGGGATCGTCGGCTTGCATTACAACTTACCTTTTTGTGGAGCGGGTCCAGTGTCACCCGGTGAGGGCCGCACCCCCCACACCTGCCTCGGGATGCCCCTGATTGCAGGGATTTTAACAAAATTTGTTGCAGATTCTTACCGTTTGTTATTCTGAAGGAATAGCTGTTTGTTTGTGTCCATCTGCAGAGTGAATGTCCATGGGAGCGACTTTATCATTATCAATCAGCTGCTGCGCCTGCAGGGATCTAATGAGGAAATTGGCAGGGTCTGCATCCCTAAGGACATGATTTCCTTTTGGAAGTATCTCACCAGAAAATTACATTGTTGTTGCAGGGGATGCCCAAAATCTGACGTATCTTAGTGCAGACTTCTGGGAAAATCAGTGAGCCAATCACACCAGCAGGAAATTACATTTTTAGGGGGGTGTTCTGTATATCATCTGTTCACAGAACGCCTCCTGGTTGCCATATTGCATTTTACAGAAAATTGCAGCTCTGCAGATTGAAAAGGAAAGGTTATTTTTTAATAACATTTAATTAGAATATAATAAGTGCGCAATTGTATACACGATATTATTATTTGTTTTTATTTGCCTTTTGTTTCCCCACGAAAGTGGAGTTACCCTTTAAGCTGGCCATACGTGAATCGAAATTTGCACCCTGCTGATCCGGCTGAATTTCGATCCATGTTTGACTACCATGTTTGAACAGAATTTGATTCATCGGTCGACTTCTGTTCAACCGCCCTGTTGGTATTTTTACTCTCAATCAGTTCTGCAGGCAGACTGCAGCACTGATCTGTGTATTCATGACAGTGGGGAAGTCTGAATACAATGGCACAGTGGTGAGGCTTCTCCCATCCACATCCAATGTGTGGATGTGGGAGTTGGGTCAGTTTTTTCTTTCGACTTACTGATCCATGTATGCCATGGGGTGAAGGTCTGCTTTTGGAACAATTTTTAGTGTATAAATATGAAATGTAACATTGGTAAGGAAAAGGAAAAATAACAAAGAGTAAAATACTTCTGCCGAAAAGCCTTAGTTTGAGGGTATGATTCTTGTGTGCTGGCGGTTGGGGCACATTCCACCCTCTGCATGACAATGAGACCAGGCAAACAGGTTCCTCCACTATAAGGAATACTGCCCCAGCTCACGGAACAACCTAGGACTTGGTTGATTCAGAGGAACTACAAATCCCAGCATACATAGCCTGATGATGTGGTTCATGGTAAAATGCCAGACGTGCCACACTATACAGCAACAGGATCATTTTTCAGAAAAGCTCCACCTTTTATCATTAAAACCTGCTCATAATCTCCAGCCAGTGACTTTGCCTGGCCGAGGTGACTTCATCAGTTTGCTGCACACAGGAGGAAGCATTTCCTCAGTCTGCTCTCCACCAGTGATCATGAATATCAAAATACTAGAACGTCTGGTCACAGGTTCATGATGGAAGCCCTGAGGCTCTCAGCCTCATCCTTCATCACTAAGGATGAGGATGTCAGCTGGAGCTTGTTCCTTCAGATGCAAATCAGCAATGGCATTTCTGTTTCAAT